AATAACGATAATGAAATCGAAGTAACGAGAACAATATCGTAATTTCGAGAACATAATTGAAATAACGAGAAATTTTGATTAAGAAATATAATTGTGGTACCAAAGTGGCCCCATTAGGCTTTCATAGTTTTGAACCATTTGGGAGCGATATTTTCCAGAAGATTTTTTTTTTCATTTACAAAGATGACGAAGGGAAAACCTTGCAACAGTTCTGTGACTTATCGCACCAATCTAAATGCTCAACGTGTAACCTTGTCTGTGTCTGTCCATCTACGCGGACATCTGTTTGACCCTCTTATCACAAGAGGACAACATGATAGCCTAGTTGAATAAGCGTTGACTCGTCGCACCAAAGGTCTAGGTTCGATCCCACGGGTAAAATGTGTGGACCTCAAGTCTGCTGCTCCACGTCATACGGCTAGAATATTGCTAACAACGGAGCACAGCCATACTCAATCAAGCACTCTTATCATCGGGGGCCAGGCTAGCTAAGCGTTGAAAGCGTTCGCTCTTCACGCCAAAGGTCCGGGTTCGATTTCCTGTTTATGGTTTCCCGCACCGTGGACTAACTGGACTGTTGCCACCAGTGGCATAAAACTGCATCACACACTGAATGTTATCACCAGATTATTAAATATAAGAGCACAAATCCTCCGTAGAACAAACAAGTAGTGATGATCTGTCTCAAGGCACTGCGGTTTGCAGTCAACGGCCAACCTTATAGAAGATATATTGCAAAATAGATTTCCATCGTATTATTTCAAAAATCGTTAAAACACATATGCTTCAATTTCAGTATTGATTTTGATTTCATAGCGTTCTTTATTTTGTTATAGGCATCAGAATTAATCTTGAATTTCGGTAAGCAATTTAAAAAATCAAACCTATTTTTCAGAAGTTAGGCGGCTTTGTAACCTGGATGTGTACATCAAATTTAACTATTGCATGGAAGCAGTGTCTACACTGCTACAATAATGTTACAGTTCTGTTTGTCCAATAGTAAGCGACACGTGTTGGACAATGTGTGTTTTTTTTTGTTGATTTCCGCTGCACTCAGCAATATTCAAGTTTTTTGACGGCGAAATAATCGAGTCTAGACCAGACAATCCAGTGATTGATATCATGAGCACCGACCCACTCAATTGGGATACGATGACATGCATCAACCAAGTCAATGAGTCTGACCACCCGATACCGTTAGTCGCCTCTTACGACAGGAATAGTCGCCTTTTATGACAAGCATGGGCTGCTGAAGACCTATTCTAAACCAGATCTTCACAAGGTCTGGTAATATGTGTTTGAGCACAGCATCTTTGGCATTGTTTTACTGGATTCAGAATGCTGACCCTGATGAAACGTCTGTCATAGCCTTAAATTCAAATCAAATATACTCAAGGCCTTTCCTTTTGAAATTTCAATTGCTATCATGAAAATAGCTACCAGAAATTGTGGATGTTATTGTAATGGATGTTTAGTAATTAGTCACTTGTGTGAGAATGAAACATCGATTTTTTTATTTGACCCTTTCACTTCGACAAACATCTCAAGGCTTCCTGGAAATAATAGATTAGCTTTGCAACTGTGAAGCTGAATATTTCACTATTGCAAACCTAGGGACCAACCATTTGATAATATTGGGGATCTGGGATTTAATCGAAAATATTAATTATCCCTAAAATTCTTAAAAACCCTTAATTATCCTTCCGGCAGATGTTTGTTTGTTTGTTGTTTAACGCTGCACTCAGCAATATTCCAGCTATATGACAGCGGTCTGTAAATAATCGAGTCTGGACCAGACAATCCAGTGATTGACATCTTGAGCATCGACCCACGCAACCGGGATACGATGACATCCATCAGCCAAGTCAGCGAGTCTGACCACCCGATCCCGTTAGTCGTCTCTTAGGATAAGCATCGTCGCCTCTTACTGCAAGCATGGGTTGCTGAAGACCTATTTTTTAGACAGTTTAAAATAGAGACGTTGCCTGCCACAAAAATAACATTGTTGCAAGTTGTTTTCATTAGAAAATAGATTTAACTATAAAAAAAACGTCTTTTTAAACCTTGGTCTTGTATAGGGGACCATTCAGATTTGTAAAGCTTAGTAATTTGCTTAAACATGTTTACGCTTTTAAAAGGTAATGGATACGTGCTAGAATATTGATGTTGGCAGCAATTATCTTATGTGGTTTGCTGTTCTTTCTCAAAGTACCCCCACCTCCGTGTGATTGTCCATTAACGGGTAAATGTACATCCAGGATATTCTCGTTAATGAATGATGCTTTATAAAAGCCAAGTGGATACGCGCTTGAATATTGATGTTGACAGGCAAGCTAGTCTTCCTCACAGTTCCTCAATCTCCATTTGATAGTACAGTAACTGCTAATTATATTTTCAGAATATTCTAGTTATTGAATGTTAAAGTCATTGCACCGTGCAGCCAAGTGTTTATGTGGGACAAAAACACCGAGTCTAATGGCTTTGTTTCTATACAGCTACTGGCGTGAACTGACTCGGCAACATGTTTAATGTATGGAACAGTGGATCTTTTTGTTGATTTCAATATGGTGATAGATGAATAAATATTGAGGCTAAAGTGAACAAGTAATATTAACCACTTTAATACAAGTATGGCATGGGTAAAATATCTAATTATGCATTTATTTTCTAGCATTTCAATGTGTTATAGGGTAACGAAACAGATACTGTTATTTAAAATATGGAAAATGTTAACGAAGGTTAACAGGTGAGATATTTTAATATATCCATTTAGATTGTTGTTTTAGATATCATAATATGTTGAATCGAGGTTTTAAGAATTACAAGGCTAAAATTACTCCAAAATCTAAAAAATGGCAGGTACGTATGGTTTTAATACAAGACACACACACACACACATGCATCCAACAAAATACATTTTTAAACGTGTTTGTTCATAAACAGGTAAATGAAGTATGTGACTTTCTCTTTGATCATTTGATCTCTCTCTCGCTCTCGCTCTCTCTTTCTCTCTCTCTCTCTCTCTCTCTCTCTCTCTCTCTCTCTCTCACACACACACACACACACACAATCTATCCCCCACTCTCTCTCTCTCTCTCTCTCTCTCTCTCTCTCTCTCTCTCAGTATATAGGGTATATAACATGTGACACTATAATAAACATTATTTTTTCCTCCCCCCCCCCTCTCTCTCTCTCTCTCTCTCTCTCTCTCTCTTGAACAATAAATCGCTAAGTATAATACAAACACGCATGCGGTTAAACTGATAATATAATGAAATTATTATCAAGAATTCTGCAGAGCGGATATACCTCTCAATCAAGATAATCTCTATGGTTTTTATCCTTACTATGGGCGGTGGGGTAGCCTACTGGTTAAAGCGTTGGCTCGTCATGTCGAAGCCCGGGTTCGATTGGGCTATGAATTAACATCTAGTTGGCTTCACACGTTGTATCAATGTAGGGAATTAAATCCGGATCTTAAGCGTGACAACAAACGCTTAAAAAGCTAGGCTAGTCCTCAGCCGGATTCGGAAAACAAAATGGATGATCACTTGTCGAAAACGTAATACGTACCATATGTGAAAACATACGTTCAGATATAAAGGAAAATGTTAGCGAGCACGATCATTAATTTGCTCTATTCGTAGCTGCTTGTAAGCATCCTCTGAGGAAAATACCCGATTAGGTACAAGATGTCAATCACGTCCGACGGATCTGGGCCGAATCGCGAAGCATCAGGTGCTTGACTTAATCTCGTCAAAAGAATCTGCCGTTCATCATTCACTGGAAGATACAGATAATATATTAATACCTCATTATTGAGGTGATATTGTGTCCTCTAATAACCATGAATTATTGAACGACTGTGATCTGGTTTCAAAGGTAATTATAGCTTGGTCGACAAATGTGGTGAAAAAGCGATCGGTCAAGCGTAAAGGAGATTAACGCACATGCTATTAAATCATTTGCGATTTCCAACACACACAAAATCGAACTTATTGATGCAGCTCCGTCTTTCATCTTTAATGCTTCCGGATATTGATATGGTGAGGTTGTGGTGTGGGATGCTATTGATTGATTTGTAACGCGGATCTGTCCCTTCCTTAACTATGGTTTGGGTTGTATGTGAATGCATGTTCATAAAATTCGAAGCAGCGATGTTCCTTACAGTATGACAAGACGACTGACTGTACATGTATTACAAGACCGAGATCTTCCCAAGGCAAGAGAGTTAACTGACTATAAAAGTCCAGTTTCCACCATTGCCGAAATAAGCTGGAATTTTGGAACTATATTTTGGCTAGACTAACGAGTTTATTCATAGTCTGATAAAAAGCGCTTAACGAAATAAACGTCCGATTTGTAAACTGAGAGTTTCCAAATCTGTTCATCAAGGTGATCACGTGATTTGATGCACTTAGCGAAGTAAGACCGGTTTTATTACAACATAGATCTTGATCGATCAGATCGTCTTGACTGGGCGCCGCCATTTTGTTTCCATGTGAGTGATATCAGCGATGGAATCTGATTGGTCAGTAGGAGGAACATAGAAGGTACGATCAAGCCCAGAATTTCCAGCTAAGTTCGGCAAGGGTGGAAACTGAACTTTAACAGTCAGTTAAACAATCGAGTCTGGACCAGACAATCCAGTGATTGACATTCATTTGGGATACGATAACATGCATCAACCAAGTCAGCGAGCCTGGCCACCCGATCTCGTTAGTCCCCTCTTACTGGTCAGTAAATAAAATACGTACCACCTATATGTAAGCAGAGATAGGGGGAACATATTTTATTTACTGACCAATAACGAGATCCTGTGCATTCTGAGTGTCGTTGTTGTCAGAATTTAGTACTAACGCGGCACGCTTTGGACGGTCATAGTATGCTATCGTTTCAAATGAATTCCGTAAACAGTATAGATCTAAGTCTAGTTAGTAATTTACTTGCAAGTCTTGTCACAGGTATGTATCTATGACATGTTCTTATTTTCACTTCAGTGCTCCTGGATTCGGCAACAGCTCGTGGAAGATGGAGCGAGACATCATCAGCAGGCTGCTTGACACTAGCAGATACGATGCCAGCATTCAACCATCATCAATTACCGGTAAGGGAGATAACTCCCGATGTAAAATATGCCCACACTTTCCTTCCTATTGTATATTGTCAATGAATGTTTCCAGTTGTGTGGTTCATTACAAGCATTTTTTATTGTTCATCTTATTATTTTTAAACCGGATAAGATACAGTTTTACCATTGTAAGCCGTATACCATACAGTGCCCCAGTCGTCAAAGTGGCCGTACTCGCCGTGCAGAGTTGCGTCCCTTAGGTGTGACAGAAAGCTACACTCGTGGGTTCAAATCCCAGATTCGCCTAGATTATGTTCTGGGATTGTCAGCACCATACCCGTGCCCGTGGGTTTCACCGAAGTGGTGAACGTCTAAGACCCGAATCACTTCGGGCTTTCCTCCCACATTAAGCTGACACGCCGTGATGTAACTTGAATAATGTTAAAGCGGCGTTTAATGCAACTAACTCACTCACTTACTTCTACCACTAGTACTACTACTACTACGACTACTATACATCTACCACTACGACTACCACCGCTAGAACTACATTCTACAATTATTGATGTTGCAACAACTACTACTGCTGTTGCTGTTACTGCAGCTACTGTTACTACATCATCATTACTACTACTACTACTACAGTATAACTAGTAGAACAACACGCAAGCACTCGCACGCACTCTTTAGCAACCCATGCTTGTCGTAAAAGTGACGATACTTGTCGTAAAAGGTGACTAACAGGATCGGGTGGTGAGGCCCGCTGACTTGGTTGATGCATGTCATTGTATCCCTGTTGCGTATATCGATGCTCATGATGTCAATCACTGAATAGTCTGGTCAGATAAAGATTATTTACAGACCGCTGTCATATAGCTGGAATATTGCCGAGTATGGCGTTAAACAAACCAAAAAAACAAAGAAAACAAACTACTATTGCTGATGCTGTTTCCGCTTGTTCGATACAAACAATTCGTCTGCAAAATTAACTAATGTTACTTCTTTCAATCATCACAAATTACTCTCCAGTTCTTTTATTCGTAGTAAGAAAACCGGAGTCAGTGGCAAACCTGTTCACAACCCTATATACTCTACGATCTATATGTGATAATATGTGTTCTTTTTCAGGGGTTCCCACAAAAGTTGAAATAGACCTCGTGCTCAATTCAGTCGGACCTGTGGACGATATTGATATGGTAAGATGTCGTCAAGTTGTCACCACGATCTACCACCATGTGTCTGAGAGATCCAGATGAATTCAAGACATTGCGAAAAATGAACTGCTTGCTGATAGAACTGATTACCTGTCAAGCAATAGAAGCGATTTTATCGGACATGCCAACAAACAGATGACCTTATGAAAACATAAAATAATAATTATCCACATAAATTGTTTTATTTGCTAGCATAGATGTTTTGATCCCTATTTTGTTCAATTTAAATAAGTTACACAAATGTAACTACACTAAAATAATGATGAAATGTAACCCACTTTATTAGCTGATGACTTCAAAATTGATTCGCGAGTGGACTTGTCGTTTTTCGCGACGCATTTCGCTTACGTCCCTTAGGCATGTAAGGATCCTCTGATTGTTGGTTCTTCCTGCTTTTAATTATGTCTTCCAAGCATCTTCCCCGTGCTCGTGGGTTTCACCAAAGTGGCAAACGTCAAAAACCCGCATCACTTCGTGCTTTTCTTCCACACTTTTAAGCTGACGCCGTGATGTATAACTGATTTTGTTCAGAGCAGCGTAAATAAAGCGACAAAATCATTTCAATAATCAAAATAAACAACTGATAACAGCAGAGTCCATTATTATTATAATTCCGACTATATCGTAATCTGTTGTTTATGAATGTATATCACACGGTGATGATAACAGGTGTTCGCGAAAGGTGAGCGTATCCTCCCCCTCTGGTTGCACCCGTCGCAAACACATGCAGAGGCAAGGCAAGTTTACACTTAAACAAACACCGACACACACAGCACGATTCAAAATAGGGAACTGCATGAGACTTAAGTTTTGTCAGTGATGCGTCAAATTTGGATGATGTTATCTTAATACTTTCTGAAAGCCTTACTAAGGCCCCCTAACCGTGAAGATCCGGGGTAGAATAGGTCTTCAGCAATCCATGCTTGCTGTAAAAGGCGACTATGCTTGTCGTAAGAGGCGACTAACGGGATCGGGTGGTCAGGCTCGCTGACTTGGTTGATGCATGTCATCTATCCCAGTTGCGTGAATCGATGCTCATGATATCAACCACTGGATTGTCTGGTCCAGACTCGACTATTTACACAGACCGCCGTCATATATCTGGAATATTGCTGAGTGGTGCGTTAAACAACAAACAAACAAACAAACTAAGGCCCCCTGTACTGAAAGCCTAATCAGGCAACTTGTGAGTCGTGTGATGCTGCTTGAATTATTCCAAGAAGGAGCACGCTCGATTGTATCTCAAAAGTGGAATACACTCACTCACACCAATTAGAATACTCGGTCAGAATGACTAAATAAAAGTGACAATGGCAAGAAACTCACTTCTTCCATTATTTCTTTCATTCTTAGATTACGGCATGAGGATTTTCAGATCGACAAAGCTGTTAAAATTACTCACGGTTACATCCTCAAACTAATACCTCCTGTGATCAATGTTTTAGGTGGATGAAAAAAATATTTGGGAAGACACCGAATAACATATCTTTTCTACATATTATATCTACTAATGGCGTTATTTTGGTTCGTTGGGATATTTGTGTCATTAACCGTGTATACGTATCCAGCATCAGGGATCAGCATCAGTATCAGGACACAAAGTGGAAGTGTCATCAATAGGTACTGTTTGTCCAGCTGTGCCACCATCGACCGGGGGCCGGACTCGGGACATATTGATCATTCCCAGGCTTTGTCTAGACGCTGTAATGAGTGCTATGAATACAGTACAGTCTTATCATTGTTTAACCGGATAAGATCAGTTTTAATATTGTAACCGGATACGATACAGTTTAATCGCTTTAAGCCGAATACAATACAGTCTTATCATTGTTAAACCGGATAAGATACAGTTTTACCATTGTAAGCCGGATACCATACAGTGGCCCAGTCGTCAAAGTGGCCGTACTCGCCGTGCAGAGTTGCGTCCCTTAGGTGTGCCAGAAACCTATACTCATGGGTTCAAATCCCAGATTCGCCTAACTTATGTTCTGGAATTGTCAGCACCATACCCGGGCTCGTGGGTTTCACTGAAGTGGTAAACGTCTGAGACCTGCATCACTTCGGGTTTTCCTCCCACATTAAGCTGACACGCCGTGATATAGCTGCAATACAGTTCAAACCGGCGTTAAATCCAAATCACTCACTCATCGGTTGTTGCGTATTACACTTATATTATGTTGATATTATTGCATCGGTTATGAAATGTTATGTTATCTATAATTTTCTTACTCACTTTTTTTTACCTTGGAAATATCTTCATCAAGTAATTGTATGCTTTTCGTGACGATGAATCATCCCGAGAGAGGACGCGACGCGACGCGACACAATTGTGTCTTGCATAGTTATTATTGAACTGAGTTTGTTCATAAACATCTGACCGTCACCAATTGCAGACTGGACATAACACTGTCAATTGTAGTCCGGCAAGAGACGTGCTTGACCCTTGCATTACCAGATCGAGTTGACTGATATTTGCGAGATCCTGACAACTGATTGACTCACTCCGGGTTTTCCTCCCACATTAAGCTGACAGGCCGTAATGTAACTAGAATGCTGTTCAAACCGGCTTTGAACCCAACTCACTCACTTAAGTAGGCAAAGCAATATGTTCAAATCCGAGTTTGTATTTTGTTTGTTTCAGGTGTTTCGTGCTAGCTTTTTTCTCCGTCAACAATGGGTTGACCCACGTCTTAAATTCAACGAATTAAACCACAGCATCGTCCTGAGCGAGAAGCGACTCTCGCGGATGTGGGTGCCAGACATCTTCTTCCCAGAGTCGACAGAGGAGACTCGTCACATCATCACGACGCCAAACGTTCTCATTCGTCTTCATCCAGATGGCTCCATCCTCTACAGCCAGAGGTAAGGACCAATAAACCTAAACAAATAAATGAATATCAAAATAAATAATTATGACAGAGGATTGAAAAAAGATAAATTTATATATTTGGAATCAAAACGAAATCCTCACGAACACCGTTGAGAAGTACCAATACCGAGTACCCGTGGTGCGTTAATCAGGAAATGTATCAAAATATATAATTAATATATGATATACAAATGTTTACAAAACGTCGAGCACTACTCTTTGTAGTTTGTATTTATCCCGAACTTCCGCGTATCTTTTGAAAATATACTGACGGGCATAACAAAGTTTACACCCATGTTTGATGGTGGCTTAGAATGAAACAAACAAGAAATTGTTGTTCGATGGAGATGTATTTGATATGGGTGTCACAGTTGTGTTATGCACCTTATATGGCAATTCCATTGGTTAATCTGTACCACGTGACAAAACAATACATTTCAATGTTGACCCCGAAATCATGTTACTGACACTGAACTAAAATATTGACTCGTCACATGATCAGTATTGATCTGTCACGTGATGAATATTGACTCGTCTGCTAGAAAACAAGATGGCGTTTGGTACGATAATTTTACGGTTCGCAGCTAAGTCACCGTAACGAAACAGAAGACGGTTTAAAGACTTCATAAACTTTAAAGTGAATTTCGGTGTAACAAAACGAATGATTACTCTTGATGAGGTCAATATGCGAAAACAACGACCCTCGGACCCGACCCCTTCGGCGGTCTGACCACCTTATGGGTCGGATTCTCGGGCCTTGTTTTCGCTTATTGACATAGTCAAGAGTAATTATTTGTATATTTGTATGGAATAATACAAAACAAGTAAATACGCCATCGATTGCATGGTCACCATTTGGATACGAACATGTCACTATATAACAAAAGGGAATGTGTGTCGTCAGAAAACAAATACAGGATACAATTATAACAAATGGATGTTTCTGTGGACATATACTGTAGTGGGGCGGAATTACTTTCTTGATGTATATTTCGCAGGTTTAGGTTTATCATACCTCGTCCATTGTTCAAGACCGCCATTTGAAATAAATATCTTTCTTGAAACAGCGTCCGAAAAACCCAGGATCTCCAAAAATATTACATAGTTTAAGTAGCTTTAGGCAGGCTAGGGACTGATTATTTTGATATTTATTTCAACAATCATTCATTCCACGAAAAACTGGACACATAATTCAGCCTCGGGTATTACGAAAGATTTTTTTGTTAGTTTGTTTAACGCCGCACTCTATATTCTGCTGCTATATTCCTGCTATATGACGGCGGTATGTAAATAATCGAGTCTGGTGGACCAGTCAATCCAGTGATTGACATCATGAGCATCGATCCACGCATTTGGGATACGATGACATGCATCAACCAAGTCAACAAGTCTGACCACCCGATTCCGTTAATCGCCTCTTACGACAAGCATAGTCGCTTTTACGGCAAGCATGGGTTGCTGAAGACCTATTCTACCCCGGATGTTCACGGGTCGGTTTTACGAAAGAAAGATTGTCCGTTGTTAAATATACTGAAGAAATCGTGTTGTAAAGGAGGAAACATTGCCCGCATCCCCCTTAAACAGGAAACAATTGTGTGTCTCCAGCGATACTCCCACACAATAATCTCAAATGGTCTGGACCTCATCTCAAACGATTTCACCTGGAATGGTATCTGGAATGGTACCAACGGGTTTGTTTTGGGGTTTTTTGCATCAAGGACGAACAAGGTCCTATTTCAAAACACAGAATTAATGGTATGATGAATTGAGTGAGTATGGTTCTACGTCGCTCTTGGCAAAATGCTCCAATATGATGAAATGACCAAGACGTTTAGTAAATGATAAGTATAAGATACGCCCTGTCTTTTGCCGTAGGTTGTCAGTGACTATGCAGTGTCGGATGGATCTAAGCAAGTTTCCACTCGATCGGCAAGAGTGTGGCATAAAGATGGAAAGCTGTAAGTATAGAGTGAGAGAGAGAGAGAGAGAGAGAGAGAGGGGGATCAAAGGATCAAAGAGAAAGTCACATACTTCATTTCCCTGTTCATGAACAAACACCTTTAAAAATGTAAGTTGATGTATGCATGTGTGTGTGTCTTGTATTGAAACCACACACGTACCTGCCATTTTTTAGATTTTGGAGTAATTTTAGCCTTGTTATTCTAAAAACCACGATTCAACATATTGTGAAACAGTAACAACAATCTAAATGGATATATTAGAAAATATCTTACCTGTTAACCTTCGTTAACATTTTCCTTATTTTAAATAACAAACTTGAGTATATGTTTCTTTACCCTATATAACATTGAAATACTCAAACAAATGCTTATTAAATATTTTACCATTGCGATACTCGTGTTAGGGTTTTTCAGATTATTTGTTCATTTTAGCCTCAATATTTATTCATTTTTGTTGCACTTTATTTCACCATATTGAAATCAACAAAAAGATCCACTGTTCCATACATTAAACATGTTGCCGAGTCAGTTCACGCCAGTAGCTGTATAGAAACAAAGCCATTAGACTCGGTGTTTTTGTCCCACATAAACACTTGGCTGCACGGTGCCATGACTTTAACATTCAATAACTAGAATATTCTGAAAATATAATTAGCAGTTAATGGACTGGAGATTGAGGTACTGTGAGAAAGACAAGCTGGCCACTTGAGATAATTGCTGTCAACGTCAATATTCTAGTATTCGTATATTCGTATCCATTGGGCTCCTTATATTGGGCTCCTTAAACTTTAAAAGGGTACATTAACAACATATTATAAAGCTTCACAGATCTGTATGGTCCCCTATACAAGACCAGGGTTAAAAGAGGCATAGAAACGGCTCCCTGTCTAGGCTTATACAGTGTGTGCCTTTGTTTGTTAAAGTGAACAGTTGACTTGCTTTTGCATGTGTTTGTGACGGGATACGCTCACCTTTCCGCGAACACCTGGTATCGTCACTATTTTATAGTGATTCATAGCCACATGCTCATGATATAGTCGGAATCGTACAGTCGACAGCGATAATAAGGAAAGGTTGTGTGCTTTTAATTTTACGGTGCAAAAATTTGTATTCTTTGACTCTAATACACACTTTTAGTTTTGGGATGCATTCTTTTCGTAAGCTGTAAGTGAGGTTTGGAAGACGCAGCTTGCATAGTTTCCAATCACATTGTTCAAAGGTGTTTTTGTGTATGTTTGTTTGCCAAATGCTGTGTCGATGACACGTGAATCTTTGGACACCCAATCCACAAGCTCCTTCAGAGCGTGACACCTTCGTTACACTCTCGGTAACATCGCTGCCACCAGTGTGGGCGCGGCCATTAAAATAATCTTGAAATTTGCCCTCTAACCCCTTGTTTGTGTCTTTGTGAATACCATTATAGTTCATTTTGAAAAGGTTTACGACTGACCATGTTTTCCAGATGAATTTACTTTGTTGTCTGTATAATCAGATTGGTTCGAGATTGCAGACTAACGGAATATCAACTAACTTCTCCCTTACATTCTTACTATATCAATTACATGATAGTTTTAATGAAATTGAAATTCCAATTGACAAACAAAGAAAGTCATTTAGCAGGGGTAAGTGTATTCGGCGTCACGACAGTCGTCACTTGTTTGTAAACATAACGGTCACTTGGTTGCGAGTTCAACTCCAAGCATGGTTGTGGCCACCCATCACAGTAGGGAGTTTTGACTGGTGGCAACGCTTGTATAGAGAGCTCCGCGAACGGGCTATCGCTGTGAGGAGCTTGACCCAACCATTGGCATCATTGAAAAACAAAAATACAAAATTAATTCCAACTATAAGCTGCACCCAGGTCGATCTGAGCTGACCATTTTTTGTAAAGTCACTCAGAGAGTATCTCTCCCTCTCCATCTGCAACACATTTAACGAATGAAGTGAATGAATGAATATTGGTGTCCGCCGTTTGTAGCCAAACACATGGTGGGAATTAACCGGAAGTTGTCAGCGTGACTAACTCACGCCTTAAGAGAGAGACACACTATGCCTCAGAAGGGTAATTTCATAATTTCATGGTCACACTTCACATATTTCAGTTTCCCTTGTTCATACTGCCGAAATTTTGAATGTTTTTGTTTGCGGACAGTACTTTCAAACTTACAACTTTGTCTCTAAAAGGATTGGACAAATAAAAGGTTTCGAGTACCGTAATACATTCTTTAAGACACCCAGCGTGCTCGGTGTACAATTTTCATTTTTTGGTTACAAACATAAGATAAAATTAATTTTTTCAATACTATCTTCAAGAACAAATGAAATGTATAATGCATCATACACATATTTAACTCATGCGATGCAGATGATATTATTACAGTTTTATATATGTAGAGAGAGAGTAGCCTCGACCGTGGTGTGTCGGGTATGTTCCCAATAAAGTCAAGACAAGATTTCTTTTATTCCAACTTGTCTCATTAATTTGTTTATCGAGGCAAGCTCGACATAAAACATTCAGAATTCCTATAAGCTCATTGATTAAAGTCATAATCCCGACAAGACAATCTTGGGTTTTTTCATCTTATCTGATTTAAATTGTTTATCTGAACAAGCTCAGCAGTAGTTGTCTCTGCTTCCTCTCCGGCCATCGATTGAAGGCCTGCTGAATACTTCATCAGTTAGCGGTGATATCGATGCTTGCGATGTGTTCTCTCTTCGTGCTTGACGATGTAGTCATGATAAATTGCATCACGAGAAAGATTAGGTAATTGACAGTGTCTGATGACGAGTATATTGAGTAAGAAGACGAGAACACGTTCATTATATATTCTGTATCACTGTATTACTTATACTGTTGAGATTTTTACAAGATTGTTTACTATAAATAAAACTCGGATGACATGAAACATCATTAATTATTGTTTGTTGTTTAACACCGCACTCAGCAATATTCCAGCTATATGACGGTGGTCTGTAAATAATAGAGTCTGGTCCAGACGATCCAGTGATTGACATCATGAGCATCGATCTAGGCAATTGGGATACGATAACATACATCAACCAAGTCAGCGAGCCTGACCACCCGATCCCGTTAATCGCCTCTTAAGACAAGCATAGTGGCCCTTTACGGCAAGCATGGGTTGCTGAAGACATATTCTACCCCGGATCTTCATTGTAATGTCTTTAGGCGCCAGACACGGTAATGGCGTGAGCCATCATAAACTGCTTGGTGAAGGCGCATGTACTAGCGTCTGTACAGAAACGTCCCCATCAAATACTAAGATGTTAACTCCATAACTCTTCATTGATACGATAGCTGCTAAGATACCACTTACTGACCGTCCTACTGTGTGTCCACAGACGGTTACACTACTGACGATGTGTACTTCACGTGGTCATCTGAACGGAAGTCCACCAGTGTCATGCCAAACGCCTACATCCCTGACTTCACCCTCACGAACGTCACGGCACACGACTGCACGGCTAAATATGAAACAGGTACGTTATCTTTCATGATACAGAGAGACCTCGTCTATCCGGGCGATATCGTCCACATGTAATTGTCCTCATTTACGAATTTCCGGATTCATGATTGGTTAGTCGTTCATTCTCTGAATTAAATGCCTTAATTATTGACAACCTTTAAGAATTCTCAGAATCAGTAGCATATGACACTTGCAAAGTTTATAAATTCTGAATTAACAAAGAGTTTTCCAGAAGTCATGAAGTATCCGAAATAATTGTTTTTTTTATATTTGTGAAGTTTGTAAATTCTCTGAATTAATTGCCTTGAATACTTGAAAAGTTTATGGAATCTCTGAATTAAATGTTTATGTCACTAGCAAAGTTTATGAATTTTCAGAATTAATTGCATAGGACACTTGCAAAGTTTTTGGAATCTGGATATAGATATGATATATTCTTCACTCTTGGATAACGGTTATGAGATGCCCATTCAAAAGGGACTCAACAAGATCGATGTTTTACCCTGAGGATCAAGTTCAGTTCGTTATTTGACCTTTGGGGCGGTCGGGTAGCCTAGTGGTTAAAGCGTTCGCTCGTCACGCCGAAGACCCGGGTTCGATTCCCGACATGGATACAATGTGTGAAGCCCATTTCTTGTGTCCCCCGTCGTGATATTGCGGGAATATTGCTAAACACGGCGTAAAACCGTACTCACTCACTCACTCACTCACTATTTGACCTTTGTATAAGAGTTTAGTGACCTGTTCTAGGTAGCTTCACGTGTATTCAGGCGAGACTGGGCTTGAAACGAGAGATCGGCTTCTACGCTACACAGACCTACATCCCAAGCATCCTCATCGTCGTGTTGTCCTGGGCCTCGTTCTGGATCGACCACGAGGCAGTTCCCGCCAGAATCTCCGTGGGGCTCCTAACAGTGCTCACCATCACCACCCAGAGCTCAGGTGCGCGCGCACAACTTCCCAGGGTTCCTTACGTGAAGGCCATCGACGTGTGGATGTCGTCCTGCCTCGTGTTTGTGTTTGCCGCCTACATGGAGTATGCTGTCGTCACGGTGCTGTCTCGAAGTTACCGGAAGCGGAAGGCGAGACAAGAACTAAAAAAGGTATTTTTTTGTTTATGAACGCGCTTTATTTTTAGAGGTAAATTTATGATCTGTTCCTCGGGATTTGCGAACAAAAATGGTTCATCGGACATGCTGGATGTTCTGTAAAACAATGTGGTGTGAGCAATAAAAACTGTTTCACTCCTACCACCAGAATATTAACATATAGGTACCTCAGTAATTCAATGATGAAACAATCAACGATTAAAAGCTGAGCTCCCCGTGAAGATCCGGGTTGGAATCGGTCTTCAGCAAACCCATGCTTGTCGTAAGAGGCGACTAACGGGATCGGGTGGTCAGACTCGCTGACTCGGATGACGCATGTCATCGTATCCCAATTGCATAGATCGATGCACTGGATGGGCGATTATTTGCAGACCGACGTTATATAGCTTGACTATTGCTGAGTGCGCCGTTCAACAACAGCAGCAAGCGGTGACATCTATTTTTGCAATAACGTAGTTTTCATCCTGAAAAAAGTGTGCACGTAATATTTATTAGTTTATCTACATTTTCAGAATTCCAAATCGACCATGGCTACAGTTTCTGACGTGGACCTGACCATCACTGACCAGGCCAAGAAACCCAAGGACAAGGACACTGGTCGCTTCGTGGACAAACTCTCTCGATTCATTTTCCCTCTGGCGTTCCTCATATTTAACGTTGGCTACTGGATCTCGTATATCCACATTGCATAGTGTCGACAACACTGGCGTTCTCAAGGAGCCGTAAATACGAGGGGCATGGGTAGAAAGCGCCGCGAATCGCTGTGCGGCGTTGCGTCCCTTAGGCGTGCCAGAAACCTATGGTCGTGGGATCGAATTCCTTATTCGTCCTGCTTATGTTCCTCGGTTTGTTAGCACTATGCCCGTGCTCGTGGGTTTTACCAAGTGGCAAATGTCTAGGACCCACCACTCCTGGCGTTTCTCCCACATAAAATAGTGTTCAATGCAATTAAAACTCGCCCACTCACTCAGTCATTCATACGATACCTCAACAATATTGTCAGTTTTATTGGATCGAATCCCGTATCTGCCAACATTATTATTTTTTTTATCTGTCAGCACCATGACCTGGTGAGTTTCGGATCAGTGGTGTAGCCTTGTGGTTAAAGCGTTCGCTCGTCACGCCGAAGACCCGGGTCCCATTCCCCACTTGGGTGCAATGTGTGAAGCTCATTTCTGGTGTTATTGCTGGCACATCGCTAAATGCGGCGTAAAACCATACTCACTCACTTGTGGGTTTCACCAAACTGTCAAAAATATAAGGAATATATCCCTGTTGGTGTTTCCTTCCTCCCAAGCTGACATGCTGTGATGTAACTGAAATACTGTTCAAAGCGACGTTAAACCAAATTCACTGTTTGTCAAAAGTCGGTTTACCTTTTTGAATGCTATTCTACGTAAAAGCGTAGAAGTGTTCTAATCTACGTCAAATTCAACGTTTCATACCATAGTTTTTCAAATTAAGAACAGCAAAAATGATGTCATCGTTGATAAAATGTACAACTCGATGTACATATATATGTAGACACCTATATATATTTTTATTCAGAGATTACCTTTGCGTAACGGATACTGATGAAACCGTTCATCATCATAATCATCTCCGTCCACACAAAACACATTCCTTTCACAGTAATGCAGAACTCATGAACGTGTATATATGTTTTGTACATTGGATCAGTTTGTGATTTCTAGATCTCAGGATACACGTGTCAGAACAATAAAATTTAGCTATTGTGAAGTACGAGAAGTGTCCAGCTGAGGGAAGAACACAAAGAAGAAATTGAAACACTTGCTCAAATTAATCAGTCTACACAAAGCAACGCCAGACTAAGGGCGTCCTCTGTTTTGTAGAAGAGATATGTTTATTTTTGACATGTTTGATTTGTGACCGACCATCTGATATTCTGGGGTGGGGGGATGGGAATTTTGCTTGAGACTGTTGAAAAAAACAAAATTGACTGCTACATAAATAACATTGATGCAAGGTGGTATTTTGGAGGCTCATTTTTAAATAAAAAATATCTGGCTTTGTAGCTGCCAAACTGTCTCATCGTCTGGGTTAGCAATTTCCGGATTTATCAAATCGAGTGTATGGAGTACCTTTGTCGAAGAGACGGCGGACTTTTAGTATATATATGGGGGGAGTCACAGTTCATAATAAATATACAATATATTTGGTAACTGGCGTGTTTTTGTTGTTTTTATTTGTAAACAGTATGTTGCAAAACAGTTACAGTCTATAGATTTTGCAGTATCAATATGTTTGAGGAAGGAAAAAAATAAGTTTGTTATCTTTCAGACACCTATAAACGATTGGAATCGACCAAAGGACCTCGCGGTAACAAGGTAAATATTTACATACATCCTGATATCAATAGACCAATACTCTCGTAAAACATGCTGTTCGTGCCCCACATTAAGAACACAATATTGAGCTTTGACATTACCAATCGATAAAACATTTTGATGTGGAGTGATTTGTGCTTTCATTGAGAAGAATGGACCACGCTTCTCCTTAGCTGAAGGGTTAGTTAGGTCCATTATTGATCCAAACCGGAAGTGCGCCATGTTGATTGTCCTGACCACCTCCACGATGTCATCGACCAGAACCGGAAGTCCTTATAGATGTCGGTCATTGTACGGGGAACGTCTTGTTAAGTGTTTTGGTGGTACCTAGTTTAATATGTATGAAGTTATATACTTCATCTTCATGCCTTTTAAACACGAAGCTGTGAAGAGTGATTCATGTCATAGAAATAGACACGACACAAAGAAAACCTGGTAAGCCAGAGTCCTGCCCTCAAGCAAAACAAGAATCAAAATATTGATGAAAGTCCGGGTAAGAAAACATTTGAAGTCTTCTTCTTGTCATCATCTCCAGCCGATTTAACGATATTGATTATATTTTTGAATGGATAAAAACATCCTTGATGGTGGGTGACTTTAGATTTGAAGCAAGAAACAATTACTTTGACTTGCTCGGAATATTTGACTTATAGGGGAATACAGAAAAAATATCTTGATTTGTTTAAAAATGCCTTGAGAATATACTTTGATCTTCAGTAAATCGATTTGATGGTGTGGCTTTTTTAAAAAAAGCATGACGGTAAAGATTGTGTGAAGGGGTTATATTGCCGTGTTTGTTTCTGAAGTGATTTTTTAAAACGTGAAGGCAAAAACGTAGGCTATTAAAATGTATTATAACCATGAAAATTAATTATTGATATATAGGGTGACATATACATGTAATTTCATCTGAACAGTTTTGAAGTGATATTACTACTACTCTTGCAAAAGGAACTTTTTGCAGTAATATTCCAGTAATATTCTCGATTATTCTCGATATTCCCAATAAAATCGTTTTCAAGAGGCCATACTACACAAAAACGACAGGGCGGTTATTGCTCAATACGCATTATTATTGTAAACCAAATTTTGCCTAAAGCCAAAACGTTCATAGAAATGAATCTAAACATATTTGTGAAACATTAATCTGACTTGATACGTTGTTTCCAATACATGTACAATAGAAGTTGTCAACCGATCTCGTGAGGTATATGGTGTAATGTACCCTGTGTGTGAGCCGATGTTTACTTTGTTTCTTTGTTTGTTTGTTGTTGAACGATATTCAGCAATATTCCAGCTATATGACGGCGGTCTGTAAATAATCGAGTCTAAACCAGACAACCCAGTGATTGACATCATGAGCATCGATCTACATAACTGGGATACGATGAGATGCATCAACCAGGTCAGCGAGCCTGACCACCCGATCCCGTTAGTCGCCTGTTACGACATGTCCGAAATCTCCGCGTAAAACGATTTGATTCAGCCATTTGGACAGCTAGCAGACGACGATAACGAACCGAGTTACCTCCCTTAACCCAATGCATTCGGATATACATCGGTTTATTTCAGCTCAACGATACATATACGAGATGAGCAAGTTACCTAAGGTGCGTTACGATTGATTTCTCCGATGGAAAATATTTGCCCGCTCCTTAACCAGTCAGTTAAGGTGATAATGACTGGCACTGGTCGGGCTCGGTGTCTTGGTTCATGGCGTTCGTTGTATCCAAACGGTTTGGGTCGTTGCTCATAATATCAATCACGGGCTTGTCTGTCCAGACTCGGACGTGTGCAGAGCGCCGCCGTATGGCCGGAGTAGCGCAAAGCTTGGAGGCAATAAACAAACACTTACTTTTAACAATGACAATGGTTAGTAGTGGGTTTTCGCGAACACCTGGTGTCATCACTGATTGTCAGTGATCCTTTCATATAGCTTCCATCAACAGTTAGCCTCCCCCGCCCTATGGAATCTGTTTGGGCGGATATTCGAGATTGATTATACAACCTGCTCCAGATATATCAATTTCATTCATTCCCTGGAAGACATCTTTCATACAGAAAACATCATCTTCCCGAGGCAATGGAGTTAACTGGCTGTAAACATCCAGTTTCTACCCTTGCCTACCCTACGCTGGAATTTCTGAGCTCAATCGTAGTGCCACTAGTGGCTTTTACGAGTTATGTTCCTTCTATGTCCCTCCTATTGACCAATTAGATTCCACCTCTCATATCACTTGCACTTGCTTCAAATAAAATGGCGTCGCCAAGTGAAGACGATCTGATCGATATTTTGTAATAAAACGGGTCTTACTTTCCTAGGTGCATCAAATCACGTGAGCACATTGATTGAAAACATCAAAAGATTTGGAAAACATCGGTTGACGCTAAGTTGTCGGTACACATGTGTTGCAAATCCTGCAATCGGCCGACATCTGCACTGCAGTTTACGAACCGGATATCTATTTCGTTACTCGATTTTGATAGGACTATGCATAGACTCGTTAGTCCAGCCAAAACATAACTCCATAATTCCAGCCTAGGTCGACAAGGGTAGAAACTGGACTATTATAGTCAGTTAACTCCCTTGCCTCGGGAAGATGAGAGAACATAATAATGTCTCTTATGTTTCGAAGCCCAAAGCACCGTCAAGCGACAGTCCCGCACGTCGACTGTGTCGAAACGGCTGTAAAAAGACTTGGGTCGGAGCACCTTCAGTCGGAAATCAACAACAGTGTTACGCTGTAAACATTCAAATGCAAATCTTCTGAGTGAAGAACTGAGCAAAAGTAACTCATTTTAACATTTTAATGACCTTGATTGAAGATATAACCACGTATTTTCATTATGAAAATGTAAATACGTTAGAACTGTTCTCAACGCGTAGGGGAAATTCCCAATCTCATTAAAAGCAGATCTTAGTTCTCGCTGCCGCAAAACAAAGATCTGAGGACATCCCAGATTACGGGTCACGTCAGACCGACCTTGCGCGAACCTTGACCGACCAATGGAATGACTGACATGAAGTCGACATAAGCCTATCAGAAGGCAGCTTTCTCGTGCTTTACGGCAGTAATTTCAGTTTGGCGACTAGGCTTCGAAACATATTTGGACAAATTCTCGATTAAAAAATTGAAACCTGAACAAAAGAACATTCTAGAATGGCTAAAAGATGGTCTAGATTGTATGGATTCAGTCGTTAAGCCCGTAACTGTCGTTCGGAATACCCCGTGTTAAAGTTTTCTAGGTTGCATGATGCGAAATCACATTCCGACTGTCACTTTCATGATCTGGTAAGCGATGCTCTGATTGGTCGGATGAAAGGTCGTTCTGACGTGACCCCTAATGGGATGTCCTCAGATCTTTGTCTAGCTGTAGCGAGCGGAAGACTGTTTATTTGTTTGTTCTTTAACGCCTCACTCAGCAATGGTTTAAAGTTTTAATACAGCGGCCTGTAAATAATAGATTCTGGACCATATAAGCCAGTGATTGATATTATGAGTAACGATCCGCGCCGTCGGGTATAATATGATGACGCTACATCCACCATTTGCACGTCATACGACCAGTATAGGTTGCTGGGAGCAGTCTGATCCGGATTCCTCACAGGGTTTGGTGTGGAGTTCTTATGACGTCAAAGAAAGATGGTATTGGAGATGTCACTTTTATCATATAATGAGTATGTTTCTCGGCAGGATAAAGCCTAGGGATAAAAACGGTATCCGTTGAGGTCAATTACAAATAAAGATGCAAATATGAAAGGCGAAGTGGGTTCTACTGTCAGTGTTTACAAACAAACATGGAGTTGCCCTTGCCAATCGGCGATGGAGTCAGAATTAACCATCTTGATTCTGCAGAAACTAGTGGGAAACATTATCCTAAGATTCTAAAAATATAAATCAGTGTCTAACTTGGACGAAGCTGAGACATTTTACAAGTTTTGGCAGCTTTGGAGATATAAGTGCGGAACACCAACCAACCATTACACATTTCCAAAATGAGGTTAAATATTATTACCAACTAGAAAAATATAGACACTTTAATAAAGCCAAACAGACTGAATTCATACGAAATGGGCTCCTTATGTAAACCTTTTGAAAATATAAACATTTGCTATTCCAAAACTTTACTAAATATATATCCTGCATCCTGTCTTCATAAGTACTAAAGGGGGGGTTAACGCCGCACTCAGCAATATTCCATATGGGAGGTAACTCCGATACAAAGTGAATTTTTGTTTGTTTGTTGTTTAACGCCGCAATATTCCAGCTACAATGTATATGACGGCGGTCTGTAAATAATCAAGTCTTGACCAGACAATCCAGTGATTGACATCGTTAACTTCGATCCACGCAATTGGGATACGATGACATGCATCAACCAAGTCAGCGAGCCTGACCACCCCATCCCGCAATCGCCTCTTACGACAAGCATAGTCGCCTAATACGGAAAGCATGGGTTGCTGAAGACCTATTCTACCCCGGATCTTGTGATAAAAGAGTATAGATTAACGCTGCTTTGAACAGTATTCCAGTTAATGTCACGGCGTGTCAGCTTAATGTGGGAGAAAGCCCAGCGTGATACAGGTCTCAGTCGGGTTCCCTGGGTAGGGGGTCATGCAGGCTGTACAGATCTTAGAAGTTTAGCGCTGACAAACCAGGTAACACGTGAATGTTTGACTCTGGGATTCGAAGCCACGATCATAGGCTTCTGGCACACCTAAGGGACGCAACTCTGCAGAGCAAATAGTGGCGCACTGGACGAGTGAGGCGACAATTTCCCCTCATATTGAGTGAGTGAGTTGGATTTTAACCTTTCTGAACAGTATTCCAGTC